TGGAATGATAAACCCATTCCCAGTCTCAAACTGTGGAGCAAGAAGTCAAAGAGAAAGTGGAAGGTTCTGAACACAAGGGAAGAAAGACAGTGGTATAGACACAAGTGGAACATGGTACTTTGATGGGTTTTTAGACTTTACAGGTATTCAGGTATTTTAAGGTAGAAAGATATTTGGGGCGATGATGAATAAATATGACTTGACTGCAAAACATGAAAGCTGTCTTCAGTTCCACTGCTGACCTTTCTGTGGTCAAGGCAGACATAATCAGACATTCTCATAAAAGTGAAGGACCTACTTCACGCACAGGTTCAGAGAAAGCAGCTTCTGTTTTTGTAAAAGGCACTGTTCTCAAGGGTGCTCTCCCCGAGCACACACGCTGCCCCGCAGTCAGGCCCATACATACAGTGCGGGATGCGTGTGTGTTTGTTTTGTTTTCCAGAAAAATACCAGAGGGTGATGAGCTCTGCCCTGTGTGAATTCAACAAACATCTGCTGAATGGATAACTGAGTTAGAACTGCATATTAAACACTCTCTTTCTGACCCCACAAAGACCTATACACCAGCTCACCTCAGTTCCTGAGGCTCAGAGTCATCTTGGATATCTCTCATATATCATCTGTTTATCCCCATCTATCCACAAGGTGGCCTGTCTCCACAAAGGACTCTTGCTTCCAATCTATGGACACTTGTTACCAGATTGATCTCCCTGAGATTAAAAAAACTTCCTTTTAATCTAGGTCACTCCCCTATTGAAAACATGCAACGCCTCCTCATTTTCTACAAAATGAAGTCCAAATTTGAGACCAGCAATTGAAACTATCCACTCTCTGCCTTTGTGAATCCTTTCCAACCGTCCTCTCCACTGAAATTGCCATTTCACAGCTCCAGACCCCTGCTCCCAATGTCACATGCCTTTATAGACTGAAGTATGACTGGGGAAAAAAAAATCACTTGCTCTTAGGAATTCACTTATTTGGCCCCCAACCGTTCCTACACAAGGCAGGCAACCCCAAAGCTACATCTCAATTCAACCTTTGTTTGGATGGTTCTTGTAATGAGAAAGAAACTGACAACAGTCAAATGGCAGGTCATTTCATTTTGAAGTATCTCTAATTGTTAGAAAGTTCTTCCTTATCTGAAAATGTCAAAATAACTGAAAACACAGGGAACACAAATTAGCCAAGGCTCTGGAGACAGAACCTAGTGATAGTAAATTCCTAAGTAAGCTAACCATCAGCTCCAGTTTCCACACATTTAAAAACAGATACGAAAATGCCTGCCAGTTAGTTTCCAAATTTTTTACAACAGAGCTTTCCTCAGTCCTTACTTTGGTCAAAATATATGTTATTTATTTTACTTGATTTGTTTAAAACACTTACATAGTTTTTCCCACACACCAAGTACTACTCTGTAAGGGCTTTCTAAATATATGCTCATTTTATTCCACACATGGGCCTATACCATGAATATCACCATTTTTTAGTGTGTGTGGGGGGTCGACTTTGGCACAGAGAAGTAACCAGTCCAAGTCACACATCTAGTAAGTGATGGAATCAGGGTCTGAACCTGGGCCATCTGACTCCAGACTCCATCCTCTTAGCCACTGTAAACAAGGGACCAGCAAATCCCCAGCCCCTCCACCAGGGGCCCCTCTTGAACCTTCAATAGTACAGCTATTGTGCCCTCATGCATCTCCCTTCTAGGGCTGTGCATCAATTTACATCTGTACCCAGCACAGTGCCTGGAGGGTAGTAGGCACTTAGAAAACAAATGCTTGGTAAGTGCATAAATGCATGCTTAAATTGGACCCCATGCTTCAATCAAACATAAGAAAAAGTATTTTAAGTGGCAGGTCATTAAAAAAAAACCCCCAACAAAATACTGGCAAACCAAATTCAACAATACATTGAAATGCTCATACACCACAATCCAATGGAATTTATTCTAGGGAAGCAAGGATGGTACAAAATCTACAAACCAGTCAATGTGATACACGACATTAACAAAATGAAGGAAAAAAAGTTCTTATGCAGAAAAAGCATCTGATAAAACTCAATTATCTATTTATTGAAAAACTCTCAACAAAGCTGGTATAGAGGCCACATATGACAAGCCCGCAGCTAACATCATACTCATTGGTGATGGCTGAAAACTTTTCTCAAATGGTCAGGAAGAAGACAAAGATGTCCACTCTTGGCACTATTATTAACCATAGTACTGGAAGTCCTAGCTGGAGCAATTAGGCAAGAAAAAGATATAAAAAGCATCTATATTAGAAAGGAAGAAGGAAAACCGTCACTATTTGCAGATGACATAATATATACAAAAACACTAAAGTCTTCATCAAAACAGTTAGAACTAATCCACAGTTCAGTAAAGTGGCAGGATACAAAATCAATACACAAAAGTCTGTTCCATTTCTTTACACTAATAATGAACTATGAGAAAGAGAAAATAAGAAAACAATCCTGGGGGTAGGGGTGGGATAAATTAGAAGTCTGGGATTTACAGATGCTAACTACTACATATAAAATAGATAAACAACAAGGTCCTACTGTATAGCACAGGGAACTATATTCAATAGCTTGTAATAACCTATTATAAAAAGATTTATAAATATTTGCATGACTGAATCACTATGCTGTACAGCAGAAACTAACACAACATTGTAAATCAACTATACTTCAATTAAAAAAAAGGAAAACAATCCTATTTACAATTGCATCAAAAAGAATAAAAGACCTAGGAATGAATTTAATCAAGGAGATGAATGATCTATATATTGAAAACTACAAGACACTAATGAAAGAAACTAAAGAAGATGGAAGGACATTCCATGCTCATGGATTAGAAGAATTAAGATTGTTAAAATGTTCATTTTACCCGAAGCAATATACAGATTCAATTAAAATCCTCACCAAAATTCCAATATTTTTCACAGAAAAAAAAAAAAACAATCCTGAAATTTGTATGAATCCACAAAAGACCCTGACGAGCTAAGGCAATCTTGAGAAAAAACAAACTGCAGGCAATCATGCTCCCTGATCTCAAACTCTATTACAAAGTTATGGTTATCAATATGGTACGGTACTGGCATAAAAACAGACACATAGATCAACAGAACAGAACAGAGAACCCATGTTTGTATGGTCAACTAATTTACAACAAAGGAGCCAAAAATATACCATAAGAAAAGGATAGTCTCTTCAATAAATGGTGTTGGGAAAACTGGGCAGCCATATGTAGGAGAATAAAAAAGGATCACTATCTTATACCATATGCAAAAATTAACTCTGAACAGGTTGAAGACTTGATCATAATACCTGAAGCCATAAAATTCCTAGAAGAAAATACGGTAAGTTCCTTGACATGGATCCTGGTGAGATTTCTGAATCTGACATCAAGAGCAAAAGCAACCAAAGTGAAAATCAGTAAGCGGAACTACATCAAACTCAAAAGCTTCTGCACAGCAAAGGGAACCATCAATAAAATAAAAGGCAACCTACTAAACGGGGGAAAATAACTGCAAATCATGTATCTGATAAGGGCTACTCTCCAAAACATAAAAAGAACTCACACAACTCAACAGCAAAAAACCAAACAAATCCAATTAAAAAATGGACAGAAGATCTGAAGGCATTTTTCCACAGAAGACATACAGATGACCAACAGGCACATGAAAAGATGCTCAACATCACTAATCTTCAAGGAAATGCAAGTCAAAACAATGAGATATCACTTAACCTGTTAAAATGGCTATGTAAACTGCTGTAACCACTATGGAAAAAAGAATGGAGGTTCCTCAAAAAATTAAAAATAGAACTACTATATGATCCAGCAATTCCACTTCAGGGTATTTATCTGAGGAAAGTGAAAACACTAATACAGAAAGATATATGCACCCCTATGTTCACTGCAGCATTAGCTACAGTAGCCAAGATATGAAAACAACCTAAGTGTCCGTCAGTGGACAAATGGATAAAGAAATTGTGAAGTGTTCTCACACACACGCACGCGCGAATATTACTCAGACATTAAAAAAAAAAAAGGGAAATTCTGCCATATGAGGCAACATGGATGGACCTTGAGAGCATTATGTTAAGTGAAGTCAGAGAAAAACAAATACTGTAAGATCTAATTTACATGCGGATTCTAAGAAAACAAAACAAAATCAAAAACCAAGCTCATAGATTCAGAATGCTAATAGACTGGTGGTTGCCAGAGGTAGGGGTGGGAGAAATGGGCGGACTGTTTTGTTTTTAAATAAATTATAAAAAAGTTTTTTTAAAAAGAGAAAAAAATCCATACAAACACAGCAGCTGAGAGTCTGGCATCAAATTCTTGTAAGCTGAAGAGTAATAAAGTACAAATTAACCTGGTTGAGGTTAAGAGACTATATATATAAGCATGTATCAGGTCCCAAATTTCCAACTTACTACTAATGAAAAATACTTACCATCTGACATTTTCCTATGTGCAGCTGTTAATCTATTAATTTAGCAATGCATGGCGGATGAGCTTTACAGTTCTTAAACTGGTTAGTTATGGTAATTTCCTCATGAGATTGCACCTGCACCATAAAAATCCAACAGGAACACTTTGAAATCTATTTCAAGTCCTCATTAACTCAAACCCACAGCAGACCACTTATTTATTTCATTGCACTAGAGAAATAAAATTAATAACCAAAATGTTGAAAAGACAAACTCCAGCCAGAATGTTCAGTAACAGAACAGAACTGCACAGCTTAAGAATTTGTGGCTGGCAGTTATGCATCCTTAACAGCATGAACTATTAAAGAGAGACAGATGTTAGTGAGGAGAAAAGGGAGCGGTTTTCTGCAGTCAAGCAGTTCACGGCCATGGGGTTAGGGGTGGGGGAATGAAACAACCTGCACAAAACTGAGTGGCCCTGATTTGAGGTCAGACTTGGCAAAAGCCCCAGAACCAGGAACCTGGCAAAACCATTCAATGACTATTTTCCCTTTGTCCATCCCAGCAGAAACTGAGAAACAGCAAAAACACTGTGATGAGCAAATGCACACAAGACAATTTTGCTGCAGAGAAATCAATGACTGGAACACTGAAAAGGTGAACCTGGAAGAAAAATTCATGGGCACAAAGGCATTTATGTGAGTATCTGTTGGACACATTCAACGCTGCTATTACCTCTGATCCACCTCTACCTAGAGTCTCAGACAATACAAATGCAAACCAGCAAAATAGACCCCTCTAGTTAAGTAAGAGGCAAAAAATCAAAAATCAAAACACAAAACAAAAAATCAAACCCAACATAGATGATTTCAAGGCTTAAAAAAACAATTATTAGGAAGGTCATGAGCACACAGTGCTGTTTCACTCCCTGTACTGGGACACGTGGGGCCAGAAGTGGACTCGTGCTGGCGAGGACAGGCTGCACAGAGATGGTCAGTTAGAAGGGACAGAACAGAGGCTTAGAGAAGCATAGTAACCTGCTACTGGGAGGCGTCTCAGCAGGGGGCGGAAGAGAGGAAGGGGAAAAAATGAAGGCAAATCACAAAGTTCAGAAATCCTGCTGTGAAGGGACAGGTACCACTTCTTCTCTGACTTTTAGTCTAAACTTGGCTGTGTACATGTTCTGTATTTGTGCGGCAGAGTAACACTGATGATCTTATCAGTGAAACCGTATATAACTCCTTTTTTGATGGTGATAAAATGGCTCCCACCACCTTGTTCATTACCCCAGTACTGTCACGGAAGATGATCTTGTCTATTCATTTAAAAATGTTTTAAATGTGGAAATAATATACTTTCGATTACACACACACATCCATTTTTATTATCACCTGTAATCAAGGCAGCATTAAGGCAGTGAAAAAGCGAAGTCTAAGCTTAAGATGAATAATTGAATCATGTCCACGGACGATGTAGAAAAGAACACTGTGCCGCACTGGTGATGGATGGCACTCAGGATGGTGGATGGGGAACATGTGACAGTTATGAAGCATCAGGAGTGTGTGCAGAAAAGCTGGTTACAAAGCCAGCACACTGAGTACAAAAACCTTTATTTAGTGAATTCTGTGTAATATCTCTACTACCTAGTAATTAACACACAAAGCCAGGGCTGTAAGGAGACCCCTCACCCTATTAGAATTGGGCAGCTGGGCTCACTGGCTCCACTCAGGCTTGTTCAGTCCATTGCTGCTCGACTTTTGCTGGCTACTCTTCCCACCAAATGCTCATGGCCCATCCCAACACCGCCCAACCCATCTCCTCCGTGACTTCTGGGCCATACTGTGCCGTCCTCCTTGAAACTTCTTCCTGTGATGCAGGCTTTCCTGGCTCCTTTTCCCCACCTCCCTCACCTCCTGTCCTCTAAAGTTTAAAGCTCCCCAGAGACTCTCATCCTCTTCCTCTTCTATACACACTATTGAGGGGGCTCAAGCTGTGCCCAGGGACTCATCCACTTCGTGACTCCCCCAACTCCTGACCCTAACTACGAGCACCTGGCAGATGGCCCACATGCAACTGGCACAGCCCCTTTCAAGGGCTTCCCACTGCATACGGGATAAAAATCTCACCCCATTTGGGTGCATACCAGACCTTTAGGGTTTGGACCTGTCTCCCTTCCAGGCTCATCTCTTGCCACTGGGCTCCAGCCGTGGTCCTGAGCATAGATAGCCCTTCTGTGTATGAACTCTCCTCCCTCCCAAGCCCTCCCCGTGTCGGCCCAAAGCTCCTTTCCAGGAAGCCTTCTTCCCAGGAATAGTCTTTGATGTTCCTACTCTTCTGCGCTCCCATAGGACCTGTGATCAACTTAAATCAAGCTGCTAAAAATCTCTGATTACACCTCTATTTCTCTAGTAAACTCTATCTTTCCTTATATTCCCAGCCCTGCCAGAATCAAGGTAGCTGCTTATGAAATTATTTTTTCAATGGCTGAGAAATTACTTTTATTTACTTAAGCAACCTTTTTACCTAGTCATTCCTTGATACTTACTGTAATTCCTCACTTGGAAATTCCTTCTTATTCAAACTAGTATTAGTAAAACTAACACTATTTTAAGTGTCCTTTGGCTTCTCTCTGCGGCACAGAGCCTTCCGGGACCTCACTTACATTCACAGTGCGGAAAAGACCTTACAAGAATCGTAAATACAAATCAATAAAACTACTGACAAGTGAAGAAGGAAAGGGAAATTGAATGCGTGAAATAAGAGGCTGCTTTAGAAAACAAGTTAGAAAAGCCAAAAGCCACTTAAAAGAAACAAGCTTTACAAAGTCTGGAAAAAGTAATAAAAAAAATCCAAAGTAACGATCGCAAACTCTTATAAAACGTAACGAGGAATGGGTCAACTGAATTAACATGTCAGTAGAATTGCTTTTTTAAAAAATTACTCAACTTGTCTGAAAGGTTTCCAAACATTAGCATGCAGGCAACAACACAATAAATGTATGCTAAGGAAATACAAAGAAAAATTTACTTTGATGCTCTAAAAGGGAGGGGCAGTGCTATTTCCTGCTTTTGTCAAGGACTCTGACTCAAAATACTCTTAAAGAGTAGATCATGCAAAAAATTTCACAGAAGTACAAATGGCTGCAAACATTCATTTTCTGACATTGTTTGTTGGTTTTGAATGGACAGAAGCAATTATCAAAGGAGAGGAGAGGGAAGTGGTCCAACACAGAAATTTCACAGGAAGGAAGTATTCCATTGGTAGAGGTTTCTGGCAATGATAGCTAGATGATTTCAGAGTGCTTCAACTATCACAGCCTTGCTCACTTGTTTGTCAAGTGTTTATATATGTATCTACTCTGGGCTCTGGGGACACTGCAGTGGGCAACACCACTTTCTAAAGGGAAGAGACAGGAACACATTAACAGACGAAAAGATAATGTCAGCTGGGGAGAAGTGTGATTGGGAAGCAATAAAGGTGATGTGGGACCGGGACAGGGAGGACCCCTGTCTCACACAGGGTGGAGGGGACGGCATCTCTCATCAGGGCATTGAGAGTGAGTGAAGGAGTGGGGGTGCGGGGGAAAGTGAACATTCCAGGCAGGTTTAAAATGGAGGAGGTATGTTGGGAGTGGGGAGTGTGTGCAAGCAAAGCAAGGTGGCCAGTGGGTATTACTCAAGGCTGGTCAAACACAATCCAAAGGGATAAGAAGCCACATTAATTTCTGAGACAACAGCAGTCACTTTCTTTTGACCACAGATCTCAGAACTGGCTGCCCTGCCCTGCCTGCTAACACAGACCCCAGGCAGGAAGTCTGCCCGTCATTCTATCAAGAACAACATCAATGCTTCACCCAAACCGACACCACCACAAACCCTCAATCCCGGGGTGGAGGGGTGGCGGTAATATGTTTACAGAGGACTGGAACTCACCAACGTCACCTCAAGGGGAGAGCCTGGCTAGATTCTAGATTACACTTGCTTTTTCCCACTGAGAGTTACTAGGGGCCATCATCTCTCCTACCGCCAACCCTGCTGTTGGCAGCCCTGTGGCTGTGCAGGAGCGAGCAGCTGTGGAGGGGGTCCAGCTCCTGGAGGGAGGGAGGGAGGAGGCCTGCAGGGGAAGGAGCCTGCAGCGCGTGGAAGGAAAAAGGTGACTATCTGCTAGGTTTTTCTAGGGCTGCTTATATTTCTGAAGAACATACTTGGAAAAATGAAGGCTTAAAAATAACAGAATGCATTTCTATTGACAGAATTTTGGGTCAGAGGATGAAGCCAGGTGCAGAGGCAACCCCCAACCCCACTGAGACCTAATCTGCCCTCTCTGGGGAGGGGTGTGTGGTGTCCGCAGGGTGAGTTCCTGCTGCTGTTCTTGCTCCTTCCAGCACGTGGAGGGTGGCCGTCACCATCTGCCCACTCTGAGGCTGGTTTGTCCTCAGGACATAGTGTTGGCCAATGATGTGTGGCCAAGGTGAGAGATGACACTTGTAGCCATAAGGACTTGTGGGTGACACGCTTTCCCTCTGCGCCACAGGGACAGGCCTGTGGGGTGGGGAGGCTCCTCGGGCAGGGCCTGGAGGGAGTGCAGGCTGATGGCTGACAGACAGCACCAGGAAACCAGATGTAAGCTCTTCCGAGGTTAAGCCCTTGAGATTCTGGAGGTGCCTGTTACCTGCAATGGCCGAGCCTCTCCTACTGACAGAGAAGAGGGCAGCCAGGAAGAACCCGTTCCTCATGAGTAGAAAATTCTAACACTCGATATCTGAGAGTCTCCCCACTCCTGAACTGAGTACGTAACACAACACGTACATATTTCAAAATTCCGAAACAATTTTTTTACTTTTTTTTCGATTTTGGAAGTTGAAACTCAAAAGTTGGGGAAAAACAAGGTAAGAAGACAGAGAATTCAGAACCCAGGAGGTCTCACGGAAGGAAAGTGGGGAACTGGTACTTGGAGCTGCCTCTCTGAGGCGCCCGGGCATCTCGCACACCCTCCCTCCCTCCCTTCCTTTCTTCCGGGCTGAATGGAGCAAATGTCCCTCCTTCTGTGAGGGCCAGTCCTTCCACGGGGGCTTGGGGTCCCCTCACCTTCTCAGGAACTGGGCCCCTAGGGTGGTTCTCTCCCTCCTAGAACCAACCCACTGACACACCAAAATAATCTTAACAGGACATGCCACTGACTTCATACACCCCACACCACTGAACTTCTCAAAAGCCTGTCCACTTCCTCTCCCCTCAAACCTCCTCCCTGATCCTGAACTTACTGCCACGAAAGCTATCGAAGGCCCAGTTTGTAAATGTCTTACAAAATTACGATTTGATTTTTTTGATTGATTTGCTTTCTTAGCACAGCTATACAAGTTATTCCACAGGAAGAAAATGACAAACTTGGAAAGCAGACTGGAGAAGGAGGAAGAGAGTGGGAAGATATAACCCTCAACTGTTAAAAGTCAGAGACGTTCCGTTCATCTATCAGGGATTATTTCTTCTAAATTTTTTAAAAAACATTTAAAATGTAAGCCTTTCAGATTACAGCATTAATAGAAAATTGCTGCAACTAGGAAAATAATACAATACCGACTAATGCATGAGAACAAAGCGAATCCCTCAATCCCTCAGTAACAGCCACCCACGAGAAACCAATACTCAAGTCTTCTTCAACTTACGATGGGGCTGCATCCCGATACACCCATCGTAAGTTAAAAAACATAAGAAGTTTAAATGCACTGAATACATCTAACCTACAGAACATCATAGCCTCGCCTGACCTACCTTAAAAGTGCTCAGAACACTACAGTTAGGAAAATAGTCTAACACAAAGCCTATTTTATAATAAAGTGTTGAGTAACTCATATAATTTATTAACACTGTGCTGAAGGTGGAAAACAGGATGGCTGTCTCGGTGCGGAATGGCTGTAAGCGTACCGGCTGTTCCGGCTCGTGATCGCACGGCTGCCGCGGAGCTGCGTTTGCCGCTGCCCAGCGTCGCGAGAGAGTATGTTACTGCATCTCTCTCACCCAGGAAAAGGTCAACATGCAAAATTCGAAGTACAGTTTGTACCAAACGTGACTGCGTTCACACCATCATACAGTCAATCCCTTGCAAGTCTAACAACTCGCTGTAAGTCGGGGATCACCTATATGTGAACACCATGCACAGACGTCCTCGCCTCTTTCTCAATATACCCTCTCCAGCCACCGGTCGGCCCCCACTGTGCACTGCTAGTGCTGTTGTCAAGACCGTCAGTGAATCCGCCTCATCAAATCCAAGAACTCTCCTTCCTTATTTGACCAACCAAACACATTGAGTGTCACCTGCTACTCCCTCCTTTTCACACCCTCCCCTTGGCTTCCTGGTCTACCTGGTCTGCATCTGCTGGTTTTCCTTGCACCTCTGTGGTTGCTTCTTAGGCTCTTTGCTGGCTCTTCCTTCTCCAACCAACCCCTAGATGTGGGGCTCCTGAGGGCTCAGTCCTGAGCCTTCTCCACTCTTTACATGTTCCTCCGTATGATTCTGTCCCTGCCCCTGGATTTAAATAACACACTTACACTGAAGAAGCCCACATTTATAACTCCAACCCAGATCTCTCTTTGGACCATAAGACCCAAATATCTAAGTCCATCCTTGACATCATCACTTCGATAAAAACTTAACAGGCACCACAAACTTGACAGGTCCAAAACATTTCTCCTCCCCAACCACTGCCAACAACTTGACACCAGCTGCTCAGATTCAAAACCTCAGAGTCATCCTTGATGTGTCCCTTTCCCTCCCCTCCACATGCAATCCCTCACTCCATCCTGTTGGATGTACCTTCCTGGTGTATTCCAAACTCACTTTTCCCCACATTCTACGTCTACGTTTTAGTCCAGGCCACCTTATCTCTTACCTGGTCTGCTGTTACGGATGACTACTGGCTCTCTCTACATCCACACCTATCCTTTACATCTATTACCCACAAAACCCAAGATGGTTTTCTTACATCAGACATGTCACCTTCCAGCAAAAACCCCAAAGGGAATCCCACCACACTTGGGATTCCAAACGAACTCCTAACATGGCCACAAAACCCTGCCTTTCCACACGCCCATTTCCTCTTTACTTACCACACCCCAGTCTTCTCTCAGGTCCTCTCTAAAGCCAAGTGATTTGTACTCAGGGCCTTTGCTCTAACATGCTGGGCTCCTCTTCCCTCATTTTCATACAGTTTGCTCCCTCTCAGCTTTTAAGTTGCCACTTAAATGAAAACTCAAGGGAACTTCTGTTGCCGACTGAATTCACACCAGGCCCCTCTGTCACTCTGGGGAACAGTCCCTGTTTATTTCATTCACAGCCCTTGTTCCAACTTGCAACGTTCATATTTTCGGTTCGCTTGCTTTTGCCCGTATTTCCCATAAGAGCAAAGACCACTTCTCTCTGGGTCACTGCTACATTCCCAGGGTTTAGCCCAATGCTTGGCATAGAGTAAATTCTTAATAAATACAGGGACTGCATAAATGAACGTGGTTTTTCCCCATCCCACCTCCACCAATCAGTGCTGACCAAGAATTTCTGATGAAAGGTGAGGAGGAGGAGGAGAGCTGCTGGCAGCCATATGTGGACTTGAATGAAGTGTGAAAGTCTGGCTGGGTGAGCAGAGGCAGCTCCACAAAAGCCCTTCTAACACTCTGCCCTTCCTGCTGCTGAGGATTCTGAGCAAAGGATCAAAGGCGGGGCTTCCAGCACAGGCAGGTTTGCAGATTCTCAAACCCCCCAGCCACAGTTTAGAGTATTTATACTTTTTTCTAATCTTTTCTGAATATTTAAATTAGGTGTATTCACATTAAATTTTGGAGTTGAACTAGACATATCCTTTGCAAAATATAGAGAAGTTGAGGGTCCAGATGTAGGCAGCATGTACACAGGGATTTTCACTTGTACCCTAGATGGTTTTCTTCTTTAATTTTTTTCTTTTTTAAATTGAAGTACAGTTGATTTACAACTATATATAATACACACACACATATATAAATTGTGTTAGTTTCAGGTGGACAGCAGAATGATTCAATTATATCTATCTATTCTTTTTCATATTCTTTGCCATTGTAAGTTGTAACAAGATACTGAATATAGTTCCTTGTGCTATACAGTAGGACCCTGTTGTTTCCTAGATGATTTTCTGTTTGAGATTCAATTTCGGAATTGCCCACTACCTTAACTAGGATCAAAGGGTATATTCTCTATTAAAAATGTTTGTATGCATATTAATGTTTATATTTACATACATAAGTGTACAAATGAAGGCAGCTGGAGGCAAGGAGGACCCGAGGCATCGTCCACTACTTAACGCAGCAAACTCGACTCACAGATGATTTTTAAATGTGTAAGAATGTAGACTGTGTTTACCAGTACAGCCTGAGTAGATGATTTTACATTTCCTTTTTTTCGGGACATTAACCAAGGGAAATGATGAAGCTTTCTCTCAGGTCTTAATAAGGCCACAGTGTTTTATGTCAATTTCTACATGAAGACCTAGAACCACCTGCCTTGGGGCATTCAACAGCAGAACTGTGGCAGCTGGTCAGAGAAGCAGGTGGGTGCTCAGATGCTCAGAGCATCACAGAATTGGAAAACCTGGCTTAAGCACCAGTTTTGCTACCGTGTGACTTGGGGCAACTCCTCTAACTTCCCTACACCACAGACTCCTCATCCAGAAAACTGAGACCATGAGAGTGATCTCCAAGGATGGTTTTCCTCTGAAGAAATGAGATGATGCACAGAGAATGCCAGCATGGAGGCTGGCGTATTGTGTGCACTCCCCTACGCTATGTGTTCGAGTACCAGCTGAACATCCCCTCTGCCTGTGCTTCACTTTTGACTGAGCTCCCAAGAGCAAGAACAAGAAGAGAAGCTTCTACAGAGGAAATGGGACTTGACTGAATACTTAAAAATGTGTTGAATTTCAGAGAACGGAGTAAAGGAAATAAGCAGTGTCAGGATGGAGCCCCGAGGAAGGAGAGCCAGGCAGAGGCGAGCCTGACAAGGCTTGTATTTAGGAGGTGAGCCTGGGCGGCGAGGAGTATTTGAGGTGGGGACTCGGGGTGGTGAGGCGGCACCTTCGCAGGTTGGATGAAGGTGCCACCAAGAGCTGGTCGAGGAGCTCACACCTGACACCGACAAGGACCAGGACGCCGCGTGTGTCCCTGTTTAGTGTCCTCACCATGCCTCCCACTTGACGGTATTTCACTACCATGCTTATCACTATGACATCTCTAATCTACTTCTTACTGGGAATGAACAACAGAGAAAGATCGAGTCCACTTCACAAACCCAGGTCAGAGGATACTGAATCCAAATCAAAAGATTATACTTAAGGGAAAATTTTCTTCCCTTCCCACAGACCAATGATAGGCCAGGAATGGCTTTCCCTCCAGGGAGATAATGAACATCCACAGTGCCTGGTACTCCCGCCATCAGCCAGTGACCATCAGTGTATCTCCAGGCAGAGGCAGAAGGCAGGGGAGACTTCTCTCCTTCTGCCCTGAAGAGAGAGCAGAGCAGGAAGTCAACGAACACGCATCTAGCTGGCAACCTACATAAGATGTACCTTGGGGTTTAGGGGAGACACCGTCACAGAAAAGCAGGAGGAAGATCACCCCTAACTCTCTCCCGTCAAGCCTTCTCAATGCAGAGAAAGTATGAACAATTATCAGACTTCCAGACACCCTCCCAATCCTATGAATTCTTTAACTTCACCTATGAAGGCAGAAATCCACAGGCAGACCCAGGAATGGATGTGCCCCGCTAAGAAAGAGCCATAGAGAAAGTCTGCTTTGGGCACTGAAGCTGCTCTCCAGGTTCACTGTACAAGAAGAGGAAGTCATGGGCAAGAGCTTTCAAAATAAATCTGTGAATATTCTTTTGATTTTGAATTAGAAGCAATGTAATATCAGCATTAGCATTAATGCCAATCCCTGAGTAATATCTTGGGGAAGTCCAGCAGAGATAACAAAAGCAAAAACATAAATACTCATGCTTTTTACTTCTGAACATACTTTAAATGGAGTTTCAAGCTGCCACATGGTGACCAATATTTAAGACTTACATAAAACTCCTCTGTATACTTTAATACATTAAAATATAAATGTATATATGTATGTATAATATATATATGATCTAAATAAATGGATAAGGCAATGAGAATTTCCATTACAATGCAACAAGGAGAATGGAAATGAATATTTAAATAAATCATAACAATATTGTAAGTCATTAAAAAATGAATTTATGGGCCCTCATGTCTTCCCTTTTACACACAGAGTCTTTTTATTATTTAATAGGTTCCATAAAAGTCCACAATGTACTCACTAGATCCTGACGTGATGTGAAAACATACTTCTAGAGGTAAGGAAGCTTAGGGATTTAAAGGCTTTTTAGTCTAATCTGTTTATTTTAAAGGTGCAAAATCCCAACCTAGCTAGAGAGCGAGCAAGTACCTTAGCCTCATGACAGGACGTGCAGGGTTAGCACGGCTCTGGAGTTCTGCGCTCTAGTCTTGGCTCTGTCAACTAGTGATGGATGGTGTGACCTTTGTTAAAACACTCAGCAGACCAAGTTTTAGTTTCCTCACCTTTAAAATGAGAAGGTTCAAACAGATGAACCCTAACATATGTACAATTTGTCCAGAGCCCACAACCGAATTAGTGGAAAAATACACCACGAAGGAAAAAGCAAAAGAGACAGGTATGAAATTGAGGACCTAACATCTCCCCAGAGGCTGATTCGTGCCCTGCTTCCATCCCAGAGGGCAGGCCCCTCACGGATGGCCGGTGTCCACGTCCTCGGCAGGGTCAGTGCAGGGGGATGGCTGGGAGTTGGTTAACCCAGGCATGAAGAAAGAAGACTCTGGCCCAGAACAGAACACCTGCAGAGCCGTCTGGACACTGCTTACCTAGCTTCCTCATCACACCAGAGGTAACCTCTCAGTTCATCCTGATTTTAATGCTCAGCTTCATATACCCTTGTATCACTTCTGCTAAAGTCAGGAGAAGGGTTCAGGAATGGCAAATACTCATGTCCTAGAAGCAATATTAAATGTCTTTCTTTATGGGAGAGAAGAGCCTCTTTAAAAGGTACTTCTATCTTTGTAGTGTGCAGTTTCTACTGTCCACAGTGATAATATTTGAAAATTCAACTTTTTTTGAGTCTCAGTTTTTCCAATGAGACCCTGAGATTTAGGTACCTGGCCACCAGGTTGTATCTGGGTTCCTTATTCTCAGGGTCCACACCAATAAGTTTTGCTGAAGGCCTGCTTTGTCCTATGTGGCAGATAGCCAGCTGTCCCCCAATATCCATTCCTCCCATTTCCTTGATAACAAGGCCCTAATTTTTAGCTGGCACATTTTTTTCTGGGAATAAAATTACATCTCTAAACCTTCTTGTGCAGACATAATACATGCCATTTTCTGGCAAACATCCTTGTAAGACATCCTCCCCCTTCCCTATTTTTCCCTACTGCTGCCTTCATGCTGGCTGGAAAGTGGATATAATGGCTGGAACCCCTGCAGCCTTCTAGGACCACGAAGTCATACTGGGAACAGAAACCATATATGGATAAAGCAGCAAGAGAAAAGGAGCTTGGATTCCTTACACCTTGGACATCAAGTCGTTCCTGAACTGATTCCTCCTGCACTTCTTTTTACGTGAGAAGGAAAACTAAACATCTTTCTCTTTAAGCCATAGTCATTTTTGACTTTGTCTCTGTTGCTCACAGCTGGGCCTAATTGAACAACACATCTTGAGATTCAGATTCATTTTCAAAAATAGAAATAATGATTAAAATGGCAAAAGATAAGCACCATTAGCACACATATTATTCACACAGATGATAACTACCCTATTGATTCAGTTCTAATAAAAAGGAAGTGACTTTTTACTTTGTTTTCATCAGATAATGAAATATAACATTCTTTTCCCAGGACAGTTTTCTACCAAGGAGCTGGAGCTAGGTGCCAGCTGTGAGTAACCTGAAATCTACCCGCTCCAGCATCACCAAAGCTCAGCAACCCATAGCTTTTATGGATCTCACAAGCATGACTGTTAGAACAATGTAAACAAAATTTGAACCTAAGTGACTTTATTACCTAAAACAGCAAACTCAGCATCATCTGTAGATTATCTGAAATATTAAAAATTTTGTATATACGAAGGATGAACTAATCTCTAGTGAGTACAGCTGTCACCTACGGCACTGAGTTTATGAACAGCCTGACCTGTCATAGTTATGGCCTCGACTACAATGACATTGTTAAAGAACAATAAACCTAGCCGGCAGTCTGGAAGTGAATCTAAGCCACCCAAATTAAAACACCTGTTTAACTCATTAATATCGCAGCAAAATAAACAGCAAATTCTCATGATGCCAAGTCACGGCCATGTCCCCAGGATGCGATGGGGACTCTTTTCCTGGCTGCCCTCCTCATGCTGTCAGCCACCAGGCCTGGGGGCTGCTCTCCGGGGCCCCAACTCAATGCAGACCCCATTTCCTTAGAACAAAGTTCAGAGAAACTCAGAGGAAGGCAGGCATGGGCCAGAGTCGCCCCTGAGCTGTTATCCACCTTGTCACAAGGGAGCCCTGCAGGAGGCAAGAAAATCTCCCCAGGTCTGTCTTATGGGGACCGGCTGCTCACTGCTCAGGCCACCTTGTGATTTTTACTGTAAGTGGGTTACTTATTCTCAGATTGCTGCAAAGCACTGTCTTTTTTTAAAACATGGAAGAGGATTTATTTACAGTGGAATGGCGACCGCAGCCACCACACACTTGGACGCTGGAGCCTATTTCTCTGTTACAAGATAGCAAGAAAACAGACTCTTCCTTATCATCTTTTACAGTCAAATTATTTCAACGCAGCTGCTATCGAAGAAGGAAAGAACACAAACATGTGCCCTCTGAATATGAATATTATGCTCTCAACCTAGAAAGCCTGAACAACAAAGAGAATTCTAAAGAAAGGCAGGAATCTGTTTATGCAAGAATATGTCACTATGAAGCACAATATAAAAAAAAATCGTCAAGAACAACTGATTCAATTTAAAACAATTTCCTAATCATATGCAAGCACCATGGCCTCTCAACAGGTTCTTTTTAAAAACACTCTTCACTCACATGTTCTGAGTATTTCTGACCTATTCTGAGCCATGAGAGCACAGCGCCAGAGAAAAACACCTTTGCTAGTTTCAGCAGTCCGCTCTCCACGGATGCGGACGAGTCAATATTCAAAACTGCACATGCCACGCACTCAGCACAGAGGTTGAAGAGGATGAAAACACTAACTAGTGTTCTGAGGACATGTTCTCTGAGTGGCAAAGCCCGTATACCAGCAACTACAAATTATGTAGCTCCAAGGTTAGAAAAATCTAGACTAAATTAAAGGGAAAAAAAAACCCCACTCTTTCTACCCCAAGGCATCTTACCTTGGTAAACCCAAAGAACCATCTAATTTTAACATTTCTGGTCAGCTACAAAGCAAACCACCTTTGGGATATTCTTGATGTTTCACACACATCACTGTAAGTAAACCTCAGAAGAGTAAAATTCCTCAGTATCAGAGAACAGGAATTAGGATAATACAATCTGTGTTAAATATTTATAATTCTTACTATTTTGTACTCTATTAAGTTTGCTTGCCCCATAAAACTTTATCTCCCTTCTAATGTATTCTTTTATAAATTGTGGAAACTGTTATTAATGAATTTATTCAGAGTACACTCTGTTCCCTATTCTTTTTCAGGTCTATAAATTTTGTCTTTCATTTGTGGAGGACAAAAGCCAATCTTTCAGCTGGCTGAACAAAATCGAGATTCTGAGAAACCAAAAGGTACATTTTTGCTACACTACATCCTCTGTCACGTCACGGTCACCCACAGTGCAAACACTACTCCACTCATGGAAGACAGCTGCCCAAGGCAACCCGACTGCATACGATGCTGAAGGCATGAGGCCTCTCTTCTTGAATATACTGAGAAATTATGAAATTACACTGTAATGAAAGGGCAGGGGCAGTCTCTGAATGAGGGTTGCGGTAAAATTGTTCAGGAGTCCTGCTGAGGACCTCGGAATTTCAAAAGCACCCATGCCTCCAAGCCCTACCCAGTTTCCACCTCTCCTGTGAAGACTCCCTCCCTCCCAGCCCGGGCCAGGACATCGCAGTGCTGACGGGAGCGTTCACCTTTCCCTTGATCACTGGGAAAACATCCTTAGGGTATCTGACCTTTCAGATCTCTGTGTCTCAACTTCTCAGTCCAACTGTAAATTTCCCAGGGCCAGCGCCTGTGTCTGGAATTTCTCTGTATTCAAACAAACAGTACCACCTGGCATTGAATGTCATGGCATAGATATCTGCTCACAGACTACATTTAACTACCATTTCCCTTTTGTTTAAAATGAAACAGATCACTGATTATAAATATAGACAGACTTTTCAGGTAAATCACCTAATCTGCTTTTATAAATGTAATTTCTAATGCTCAGTATTTCAATTTCTTTTTAAAGACACGGCACAGAGGTTCTAATCAATATTATGTGGTCCTGCCATTCACAATTAAAGAAAAACATTAGTCAATTGCAGATTTGATACACCATATTAAAAAGAAATTCTTATGTGTACCCCAGACTGGAAGAGAAAGTTTTTCTAGTATCTGATTTTTGAAATTATATTTCTGATACAGATCCATTTTCTACCCACAGCTGTAGTCAGGAATAGATAAAACCACACAGCTTGTTCTGAGTCTCAGCAAAATACGATACCCCTCGCCCACCATTCAAGATGCTCTGGGTCCTGACTGAAAGTCCGTCCTACAAAGAACAGAGCAGCGCCCTGCAGCCTGTTCAGCTGCACCACCAGGCAGACGTGCATGGTCACAGCCACCATTGATGGCCCTGACCAGTCGTGCAGGGCAATATGTGCTGCAGGATTTGCTTCAAAACGGTAACATGTCTCATGGAGTGTAAGAAGGAGGACAAGCAGCCTGGGGAATTTTCTTTTTAAATCACATACAGAATAAATATAAATGCCAAGGTCAAGTGAAGTCAAAAGCTGTATTATCCTAAAGTAGCTGAAAACAAAAACAAAGTATCTCCCCCCTCGCCTCAAATGCTGTGGTTTCTATTATACACCATGAGGACTTTTCTCCACTCGTGCACAAATCCCTCTCTAGGCCCTGCTTTTACAGCAGCAGGTCACGCTGGCAACACCAGTGAGAGCCTGATCCAAATGTGAGGACAC